CTTTTCCAGACACCAAGGGCCATATCAGTGAGCAGAGAAGCCACATTCCCTCGAGGACCAAGACAGGAATACAATGGGGATGCCCTTCTGGTTGGTGACTGCTAAGAAGGGTAGATTAGAGGCTTGTGTATGTGTGTGTGTGGGGGTATTGGTCTGTTTAGTTGACTGCTACTCAGTCCCAAGGGAGTTGAAGGGTGACTTGGAAAGGGCCTCAATGCAGAGACAGGGTGGAGTGTGTCTGACCCTGAAAGAGTGCTAGGGAGGAAGAGGGCTGGTGCCCATGGCCTCTCCGTTCTCCCAAATGCAGTCTGCCCGGGGTGTACACCCATGTAACATACTCAGCACCTGTTTACGTGGAGATGAAGCTGCTGCCAAATGCAAAAAACTCTGCCTTTCTAGATAGGGGCAGTAAGAAACGGTAATACACAAAACACCTCAGTTAAACATTGGACCGGGGAAGGTCCCAGGTGAGCCAGAGTAAGGTTGGGTTGGTCAGGGATGACCTCCCTGTAAAGGTGACATGAATTTCAAGTCCTGAAGGAGGTGAGACAGCAGTGAGGGCGGTCATCGGCAGAATCCTGGGCAGAAGGAACTGAGACCCTTATCTGCAGCCATGCCTAGCTTGTAGAAGAAACTCCAAGCAGGTTTTGGAACAGAACACTTGTGCCTCACTTCCTGCTAACACAATAAGACTTGTCTGGTTTATTTTCCATGAGGGCTCAAAGGTTTGTCTTCCTTTGAGAACAGTGAGTTGGCTTAGGTGTGACTTTGGCCTTCAGGTTGGATTGGGGTGGGGGAGGGGGATACAGGAAATAATAACAGTCTTCCCTGCCTCTTCCTCTCCCAAAGCCAGAAGCAGCTGCTGGATCTTTAAAAAGAAACACTAGTGGGAGAAGTAGGTCGTCCCTACAGCAGCTCAGCCTTTGTTCTGGAGGGGCAAGAGGAGCTGAAAGTCCAAGCACCTCCCTTTAGGTGCTTTTGCCCTGACCTGGGAAAACTCCCGGTGGAGGGGGGGAGAATTGGGTTCAGGTGCTGCTGAGTCACACAGCCCTAGCTTCAGTCTATTTTAATGCCTGTTGGCTGTGTGATCTTGTGTAAATCACTTAGCTTTTCTGTGGTTGGACCCTTCATCTATTTTTATAGATGGTGAAAGCTTCTCTAAAGTCAGTTTCTAAAGTAGGAGACTGACTGGGTTATGGCTCAGTGGTGAGTACTTGCCTGCCATGCTCAGATTCCATTCTCAGTATTGTAAAAAATAAATACAAAATGAATCCGTATTTATACAGTGGATTTGAACCCTGATATTCTTTGAAACATCCCTATTGTGTGACTGGGTGAAGAAGTCTTGTTTGGGGGCTGTTTTGTATTTATTTGCATGTGGTTTTGAGGATGGAACCTAGAGCCTTGTACATGCTAAGCAATCACTACCACTGAGCTTCATCATAGGAGCTGTCTTTTAAATTTCTTTAATGCTGACTTTTTAACAGGCACAGTGCGATAGGGAAGGAGAGTATTGTAAACCAAGACTGTCTTTGTCACCCATGTCAGATTCCCTGTTAGGCATCAGCTCTCTTTCTTTGTGTGCTGATCACTTCTAGTTGAAGGGCAGTTTGCCATGCACAAAATTGCATGTGAGAATGCATGAGATAACATTTGGAAACCATTTTCCAGGCAATAATAAGCACTTAAATGGTGGAGGAAGGGCTGGGGATTTAGCTCAGCGGTTCGGTGGCCTGCCTTGCAAGCGCAAGGACCCGAGTTCAATCCCCGGTACCAAAAAAAAAAAAAAGAAAGAAAGAAATGGTGGAGGGGCAGTTGTAGCACCCACTTATAGTCCCAGCTACTCTGGAGGTTGAGGCAGGTGGATCGTTTAAGGCCAGCCTGAACAATGTGATACCGTCTCAAATGAGGAAGATAGCAAGGTGATGCTTGCCTGTAATCCCAGCTCTAGGGAGGCTGAGGCAAGATTATAGGAGTTCGAGTCTAGTCTCAGCTACACAGTGAATTCAAGGCCAGTCTGGTCTAGGTAGCAAGGCCTTGTCTCAAAAAACAAGGAAGACAGAAATGGAGGTTGGGAAACTTGATTTAGTGCTCAAATTTTCTAACTGGGGAGACAGACTTCTCTGTCCACACTAGGGCTGACAAAGTGGACTAGATACAACAGCTGCTCTCATCTGCTGTGATTCTAAGGCTTTCACAGGGCCTTCCTTGCAAACTTGCCACAGTAAAAGGAAGGATGGTAGGCCAGTGACGCTGCACTTACCTGGCAAGCCCAAGGTCCTGAGTAGGATCCCTAGTACCCCCAGTACCGGGGGTGGGGGTGAGGGGAGAAAGGATGAGCTTTAACAATCCCAAGCTCGGTCCATATCTGACCCTTACTTCGGGCAGCTCCTAAACTTGAACAGAAAGCTCCACCCTTTCGCACCCGTCCAGGTACCAGCCTGCACCCCCCAACCCAGTCCTAGCCCCCTAAATCTCATTCTTCCTTTCAACATCCACCTCAGTAGGTCTCTAGGCGCCCCTCCCCGGGGGATTTTGAGTCTCCGCCAGAGCCCTGCATACGGCGGCCCTGGTTGCGCGGCCACATGGGAGTTGTAGTTTTAGGGCTGGATGGATTTGCGCTTGCGCAGGTGGTAGGTTCCACACGTGTCTCACAACACCCGCTTCTGTCCGCCGAGCTGGCCAGTGGGAATCCTTGGTGCACCTTTGGCGAGTCGCCCTTTACCTGAGAGGAATTAGGCGCCAGTGGATCCTTCCCTAGCCAGAGAGGTCTTAGAGTGCTTGATTTTCATGACTCAACGGAGCCGAGACTGACTTTGCCAACGAGAAAGTGGCCTGAGAAATTTGTCCGTCTTCTACAGGTTGTGACAAACATTGGTCTATGCCTCTTCCGAGAGTCAAAACGTTCCACTTGGCAGGGCTGGGTTGTCCTTTGGGATTAGAGCTTTTGTTGGTTCAGTAAATCATTGATTTAGGTACGGGGGATCGAACTCAGGTCCTTGCGCTTTCGAGGCAGGCAGCAGAACCACTGAGCTAAATCCTCGGCCCTAACCCACGTTTTCTAAGAGTAATTTAAAGGCTGGGTAACAATGGGTACTTAATTGGATTATCTCTAATGGAGATTTTTTGTTGTTGTTTTTTTGAGACAGAGTCTCACTGTGTAGTTGAAACTGACCTGGAACTTAATATGTAACCCAGGCTGGTCTCGAACTCACAGCGATCCTCCTGCCTCAGCCTCCTGAGTGCTGGGATTACAGGCATGTGCCTGGAACAAACTTTTTTTTTTTGGTACTAGGAGTTGAACTCAGGACCTTGTGCTTGCCAGGAAGGTGTGGCACATTGATCTACATTTCCAGCCTTAAGAACAAACTATTTTTTTGTTTTGTTTTCCTACGGGGGATTGAACTCGGGACCTTGTGCTTTCGAGAGAGCGAGTTTTATTTTATTTATTTATTTTTGGTTTTTTGAGACAGGGTCTCACTATGTATTTCAGACTGCTCTGGAACTCACTGTATAACCCAGGCTGGTCTCGAACTTGCAGTGATCCTCCTGCCTCAGCCTCCCGAGTGCTGGGATTATAGGCATGCGCCACCATGCCAGGGGAGCAAACTAGTTTTAAACCCATTTGACAGGTGGGGAAGCTGAAATCCTGACTGGCAGGAGGTGACCTACCTTATGGGGGGGGGTCAGGACAGGAAAGTAATCGGGATACTCCAGGTCTCCAGCTCTTTCCTAGAACACCTTGCTTTCAGAGAATAAAAAATAGTGCCTGCCATCATTATTTATTTATTTATTTATGGTACCTGGGATCAAACTCAGGACCTTCCGCTTTCAAGGCAGGCAGCGGAATCACTGAGCTAAATCCCCAGCCCTGCCATCTTTGGATAGTGCAAGAATCACAAAGATTTCTTTTTTTGTTTGTTTTTGGTACTGGGGATGGAACTGGGGCCCTTGCACTTGCAAGGCAGGCTTCGGAACCACTGAGCCAAAACCTTGGCCCATGAAGATTTCTTTCTTCATGGCCCTGTCTGTCCTTCCTTGAATTTCCTAGATAAGAGATTTCATCAGCAGGTAGGGAAAGGAATTAGGCCTTCTACTCTAGTTTCTTGGTTCGTTTTTATTTAAAATTTTACATCTTGGCAGCTTTTTAAATCTCAATATTGTCAGCAGTGGAAAATAAATAATAAAATGGGGATAGGGGCTTTTGTAGAAACCCAGACTGTCTCAGATACTCCCTCTGTTCAGTTGGCTCTCCTTTGTCTATAAAATCCGCCCAGGCTCAGTCCTTCTGCCCTTTTTTTTTTTTTTGCACACGTGTAGGGGTCTCCCAAGTTATCTGGATGGGGAAGAGGAGGAACGATGCATTTCTTGGCGATAAGGGCACATTGGCTCTGACCGTGGGATTCGCGGGTTTATCACACACCAAAAGTCCTCGTGCATTACAAAATTCTTCGCTCCTGCAAAGAACTGCGGTCAGGACTATAGGAACCGCTGAGAAAACGAGATGATGGGATGACCGACTGCCCAGAGAGGCCAAAAGAGGCGGCAACTCTTCCGCCACGTGACCAGAACATCGCTGGGCTGAGGACTCCCGGGCGGCTTGTCACGTGTGGTGGCTGCGCCTTCTGATTGACTCTGCTGGGCCAGTTTGAACGGAGTACGGAAGCCGCAGCGGTACATGTACAGGCGCGTTTTTTTTTTTTTTTTTTTTTTTTTTTTAAGCTCCCTCCTTCCGCACGAGTCTCTGGAGAAGCCGCAGTGTAAAGCACCGCCGCTCCAGTTTGGGGACCTGTAAGTGGGCTTCACTTAGAGTCTGACTCATTCTGCTTCGGCTTTGTCGACCCTCGCCTGACTCTGGGCCTGCGCTATGCGCAGCCCGGGCGTGCAGGCCACTCCTGACCAGGAAAGGCCTGGAACCCGGTTGGGCCGGATCCTCGAGGCCGGGAAAACGGGCCGGGCGGGGGAGGGGGGAACTGAGCGGGGCCGAGCCGAGGGGGTGGGGCCTCGGATCCTGGCCTGGTCGGGGTGCCGCGAGAGGCCGGCCAGTGGGGGTGCTGGGGTCGGGCTGGAGGGGATCTGATTGGGGGACGCGTCTGGGGACTGCTTAGGGCCTGGTCGGGGGACGTCGCGAGGATCGGGGGTGTGTGGGCATTTTTCGGCGGGGCTTGGTTGGGTCTGATTGGGGAGGCCGCACTGAAAGTTAGAAGAGGAGCTTTCGGTCCTGGTAGGGAGGGGCGTCATACTTTCCGCCTAAAAGGCTTTGCGGCGACTCTGAGATCCGTTGGGGGGAATCCGAGCGGGAGCCTGGTTCGGCTAGGCCTAACGTGGGGAGCTGCAGGGTTGGACAAAGTGGGTGTCCGGCCCGAAGTAGCGGGGGGCTCGGTGGAACTTGACTCAGAGACTGGTCTGCAGGAGTTAACTGCTGACTGGAGCGGAGGGTGGGAGGAGAAGAGGACTGGCCCGACCTGATTGGGGTTGGGGTTGGCGCCGGGACCCGTCCAGGGGCTTCTGTTGCGGGTTGGCAGGCTTGGCTGACTCTCACTAGAAGAAGCAAGGGAGACCTGTCTGGGGATTGCTTTGGGACTGGGTCGGGTTACGCAAAAAATGAAAGAGGGCGTCTGGCTTCTGCCGAGGTTGAAGGGCCAGATTAGAGGAGGTTATAGGGATTGATCAGGACGATCCTTGGGAGAGTGCACGTGGGGAAGCTCAGGGAGAGAGGGGAGAAGGAGGCCGCTGGGGTCTTTCAGGAGAAAAAAGGGGATCTTCAAAGACTGCTTGCTCCCAGGGGACTCCAGTGCCCAGGGGGCTGTCAGGGCAGGGCCCCTGGACTTGGGGGAAGCTGGGCCCCTTGCTCAGTACCTGCGAAGGGGGTGGAAGCCTTAGGGCCCACAGCTGGGAGCGACGGCAGCGTGGGCTACCGTGAGAAGAGGGTTCCTCGTGGGGTCCTATGAGGCTCCGCCTAGCCCCACCAGCAGGTCCCCTGACTTGGTTCCACGTCGCCCTGCTGGCGCTCCTGAGCCCGCGACTGGCGAGGGACCCTGCACCTGGGCCGGCATAGATTGGGGACCACCGCCGCCCAGTGCACTCCCATCGTCGCATTGCTGACGCTGTCTCAGGGTCTCAATCCGGGTCTTAAATGGAACCCCAGAGCCTCAGCGCTGACCCTGGCCCCTACCCCCACAGCTTGCCTTGTGCCATGGACTGGCAGCCTGACCAGCAGGGCCTGCAGCAGGTCCTGCAGCTGCTCAAAGACTCGCAGTCGCCCAACACAGCCACACAGCGCATCGTGCAGGATGTATCCTTACTTCCTCCTGGGGCTGGGGGAAAGGGCAATGGGGAGGGGCTCGCCCCCTAATCCCTAAACTCTGCTGTGGGAAAGAGCATGGCATGGGAAGAGAATTAAGTATTTACATTTCTGGGCCCCCTTTCCAGAGCTTCGGGAACTGGTAGGGTAATGATGGAAACACCTAATGTTCCTCCAAGACTTATTCCTTGGAGTTTGAAAGTGGGTATGGTTTCTCTCCTCATTTTACAGGTGGGAATATGAGGGCTTAGGCAAACTGATTTGTTCAGGGTTGGTCGCAGCTAAAGTGGAGCCAGGATGGGAAGTCCTCCTCTTGAAGTTGAGCCCAGTCTGTCCTGTCAGAATGAGGGAAGCAGTGGCCTTTGAGGAGGGAGACACCTGGACTAGAATCTTGGGTTTTGTTTTAGGTTTTGTGGTCAAAAGCATGCAGAATGCCCTGGATTCAATCCTCAGTACTGCAAACTTTTTTTTTTACCCCTGTTCAAAGTATTATACATGATGCTGGTTATAGGGGCAATTTGGGTGCCTCACTCTGTAATGGTGGTGGGAATGGAATCTGGGACCTGGTGCCTGTTAACCAGGCACTCTACTATTGGCTATACTTCCAGCCCTGCCTTTTTGTTTTTGTTTTTGTTTTGGTACCAGGGATCAAACTCAGAACCTTGCGCTTGTGAGGCGGGTGATGACACCACTGAGCTAAATCCCTGGCCCTTTTTCCATGTTTTTTTTTTTTTTTGAGACAGCGTCTCCCTATGTAGTTCACGCTGTCCTCAGACACAATAATCCTTCTGTGTCAGCCTCCTGGGTGCTGGGATTATAGGCATGCACTACCACACCTGGCTTTTTCTTTTAACAGTAGTCAGGCAGTGTTGGACCACTAAGGGAGCAGAGGCAGGTATCAGCTGCTGTCTTCAGTGCTCAGGGTTCTCTGGTCCTCTGCTGCTCTGCAGGGGCTTCAAGAGCTGTTTGGAGCTCAAAGTGGTCTTCATGTGTCTGAAATGCTCTGTGATGTTTTGGGTGTAGGATTGATGAATGGCTGCTGGGTCCCATTGGTCCCAGGTGCCCTCAGCTACACAGCTGCTTCCCCTGCCTGGGGAAGGCTCCTGTCTCCCAAGTCCCTTAACAGCCTGATAGAAACTCAAACAACTCAACCAGTTTCCCGACTTCAACAACTACCTGATCTTCGTGCTGACCAGACTCAAAACGGAAGGTATGCCCTCTGTGCCCCTCCATGTGAGGCAGACCCCGCTTCCCCACATGGGCCCTTGAACCTCAGCCCTGTCCCCGTAGATGAGCCCACGCGCTCCCTCAGTGGCCTCATCCTGAAGAACAACGTGAAGGCCCATTACCAGAGCTTCCCACCTCCTGTGGCTGACTTCATCAAGCAAGAGTGTCTCAACAACCTCGGCGATGCCTCCTCGCTCATCCGGGCCACCATCGGTGAGAGGGGAGGAGGTTCCTGAGCCCATCCCAAGCTCTGCTGTGAGCCAGGAGGCTATGTGGCATCTTCAGGACATTGTCTATGTTCTGTAGCACCCTGTGTGTTGGTCATGCTGTTAATTGCCCTTTGGCAGCTCAGGAAACTGAGGCACTGGCTGTTATGTGCTGTGCCTAGTAGGTAGCAGAACTGGGAAACAGCAAGCAGTTCAGATCCCCATTCTGGAATCCCTCCCTCTGGAAACAGCTGTTCTTACTATGAAGACAGTGACTCAATGTCCAGAATTTTGTGATAGCCAGGTGTGGTGGTGCGTGCCTGTAATCTCAGCACTTGGAAGAGTGAGACAGAGATCTCTGCAAGTTCAGCACCAGCCTGAAGTACATAGTGAGACCCTGTATCAGAAAATGGGGGAGGGCCAGGGATTTAGCTCAGTGGTTCCACTGCCTGCCTTGCAGCGCAAGGACCCGAGTTTGATCCCTGGTACCAGAAAAAAAGGGTGGGGGGTTTGTTATTGGCTCTGGCTCCAGGCTAAGAGCTGAGGATCTCATAGTTAAACAGTGGAACTCCCTGCTCTTGTGGAGTTCTTAGCTAACTCAGTAATTCTCCAGGGACACTCAAGGGTAGTTCTTTTCTGATAGGTGGAAGGCTGGCCACGGAAGTTACAGGAGAGTGACTAGGAATTAACTGGAGGCATTGTTCTGTGAGGTATTTTACTCATAGCAAATGTTACTAACAGACATTTTTTGTTAAATCTATATCAACTTAGGCCTAGTAAGGTGGAGGATACACAAGAGGAATATCTGTAGTCGTAGTTACTAGGGAGGTTGAAGCAGGAAAATCTCAAGATCAAGGCCAGCATGAGCAATATAGGCAGTGGGCCGGGGATTTAGCTCAGTGGTTCGGTGGCCTACTTTGCAAGCACAAGGACCCGAGTTCAATCCCTGGTACCAAAAACAAAAACAAAAAAGTAATATAGGTAATATAGTGAGTCCCTGACTCAGTAATAGGCGGACAGATAGGTAGACAGACAGACAGACATCAACTTTATTCATTCATTCATTCATTAATTTTTGGTACCAGGGATCGAACTCAGGACCTTATGCTTGCAAGGCAGGTGCAGTGCTGCTGAGTTAAATCCCTGGCCCTATTCATTTATTTTCATTTATTCTGAGGCTGGCCTCAGACTCTCAGTGATCCTCCTGCCTCAACCTCCTGAGTGCTAGATTACAGGGCTGCACCTAGCTCAGACTTCAACTTTAAAAAGTCTTTTAGGGCTGGGGATTTAGCTCAGTGGTTCCGCTGCCTGCCTCAAAGTACAAGGTCCCAGGTTGGATCCCTGGAGCCTGCCCCCCAAAAAGTTGCTTTTAAAAGGAAATTGAAAAAAAAAAAAAAAAAAAAAAAAAAAAAGAAAAGGAAATTGAGCCGGGTGTGGTGGTGCACACCTGTAATCCCAGCACTTCTGGAGGCTGAGGCAGGAGGATTGCTGTGAGTTCAAGACCAGCCTGGGGTATGTAGTGAGTTCCAGATCAGTCTCAGCTACATAGTGAGACCCTGTGTCAAAAACCCAACAAAACAAAAGGAAATTGATGGATGTGGTGACACAGGGATGTACTCCCACCACTTGAGGGGCTGAGGCAGGAAGATCACTGGGAATTTGAGGCTGGCCTGGGCTACATTGTGTAACCCTGTCTCAAAACCCCCCAAAATAAAATAAGTAAAAGAAAAAATAAAATTGTGATCTGGGAGTGGTGAGACATTACTGTAATCCCAGTGTTGAGAGGCTGAAGCAGGAGGATCACATGAGGCTCAGTTGGGCAACTTAGTGGGATGGTCTCAAACTAAAAATTTAAAAAGAGACTGGAGATAATATGTATTTCAGTGCAAAGGCCCTGTGTTCAATCCCCAACACTACCAAAAAATAAAAAAAAATAAAAAGTAAAAAATAAAGGATCACCCTATGGGGCAGGGCTTGTGTAGTGGGCTAGTTTAGTGTCCTCACTGTTTGCCCACTCACCCAAGGAAGAACCTTCCTCAGTTCTTGGAGGCCAGGGTCACCTGAGAATTGGCAATGGCAACTCAACACTGCCATCTTGTGGCACTTGGTGCCACCTTCAGTGAAAGTGCCTGTTGTGAGCCAGGCAGCCTGGCTGTTGGGCTGTTCTGCTGGCTTCAGGCCTCACAACCCCGCAATTGCCTGTGGGTGTCCGCAGTCAATGAAGTCCATCAGCAGCACACATCCTCTGCCCTCTGTCCCCCTGCCATCTTCCTTCTCCCACTCTCCCTGTTCATTCTTCTCTGCTTTGTGAGCATATTCAGCCTGTGCCACCCCTGGGCCTTTGCACTGGCTGCTCTCTCCCTGGGTATCTGGATATATCCTTCCTGACCTGCTTTATGTCCTTCAGGTCTCTGGTCATGTGTCACCCTGATGATGCCTACTCTGACCACCCAGCTTAAAATTGCTCCCCTCCTCCTCAGCCCTTGCTGGCCATCTTTTCTCTTTATTTCTCCCTTTGGCCTTTCACCCTCCCCTCCCCTCCCCTCCCCTCCTGTACTGGAGATGGAACCCAGGAGCTTCTCACTGAGCTATATTCCCAGCCCTTTTTTATTTTGATATGGTGTCTTGAGTCTCTAAGTTATGCAGACTGGGCTAGACCTTTCAGTCCTCCTGTCCCAGTCTCCTAGAGTGCTGGAATGACGGGTGTGTGCCCCAGCTTCACTTAGGGCAGGGATTCACTTAGGGACTCATTCAGGAGTGAGTTTCAGGGCCTGTGCTGGGGCCAGCTCAGTAAGCTCAGAGCATGTCAGCAGTCAGCCAGTACCAGGGGTATGGCTTGCGTGGAGTGCCTGCTGGACATAGATGAGGCTTGGGTGTGATGTCTGACACCCTCAACAGAGGGGAACATGAAGGCTCTGCTGGGATGATGAGCACAGTGGAGAGGGCTCAGGGCCATCCTGAAGCTACCTCCTTTCCTCGGCTGCTCCAGGTATTCTCATCACCACCATCGCTTCCAAGGGCGAGCTGCAGATGTGGCCTGAGCTGCTGCCGCAGCTGTGTAACCTGCTCAACTCAGAGGATTACAACACTTGTGAGGTAGGTGATGAGCTGTGGCCCCTGTGTAAGTGGGAACTGGGGCCTAGGCTGGGATCAAGCCCATCTCTCCACCCCTTTCTATGCAGGGGGCTTTTGGAGCCCTGCAGAAGATCTGCGAAGATTCCTCAGAACTCCTGGACAGTGACGCTCTCAACAGGCCCCTAAACATCATGATCCCCAAGTTCCTACAGTTCTTCAAGCACTGCAGCCCCAAGATCCGGTAGGTGTTTGAGCTCCCTCGTGTACCTGGGGCTTGGAGCAGTGGGGCAGCCAGGGACTGATGTCTCTGTGCCCTGCCAGGTCTCATGCCATTGCCTGTGTGAACCAGTTCATCATGGACCGGGCCCAGGCACTAATGGACAACATTGACACCTTCATCGAGGTGGGTGGCCAGGCTGGGTGTGGGTAGGAGGCTTGTGAGGACCCCAGAACAGCTGACCTGGCCTCCCTCGCAGCACTTGTTCGCCCTGGCTGTGGATGATGACCCTGAGGTGCGGAAGAATGTCTGCCGAGCCCTTGTGATGCTCCTGGAAGTGAGGATCGACCGGCTCATCCCCCACATGCATAGCATCATCCAGGTGTGCACAGCCGTGGCCAGCCCAGGTGGGCAGGTGCAGGCAGCAGCAGAGTAGGGGAGGAGCCCACTCTGGGCTCTGCCTCAGTTCCTTCCCCTGTTCACTCCCAGTACATGCTGCAGAGGACCCAGGACCATGATGAGAATGTGGCCCTTGAGGCCTGTGAATTCTGGCTAACACTGGCTGAGCAGCCCATCTGCAAGGAGGTCCTGGCCTCCCACCTGGTCCAGTGAGTGTACTTTGCCCTTGACTTGTAAATCTCCACTCCTGCTTTGCCTGTGCCTTCTCTTCTGGTTATGTCTTGTGTTTGCCTCAGTCCACATCCTCCATGTGTGTTTTTCATAACTTTAAAAAATTAGGAAATTGATGAGAAACCAACTATGGCTTCAGGCATGGCTGGATGCAGATGCTCAGAGAATGTGAAAAGTGGCTGTCTAGCCTCAGAGCTGCTTCCTCTATGCTCAGGTTTGTGTTATCAGGCATCACCTCCCTGGACAGGACTGTGGCCTTCCTCATCCTTCCACTTTAGGAGGCTCAGAGTAAATAATTCTCTCTTACTGAGCATCTTTAACAAAAGGCCTAGAGCTGGCCCTTCTGATCAGTTTGGTTCACTTATCCCTGAGTCTTTTTTTTTTCCACCCCAGAATCAGGAATGGAACATAGGGCCTTTGCACTGGCCTATATGCCCAGCCCTTTTTTCTTTGTACTAGGGATCGATCTCAGGACCTTGTATTTATGAGGCATGCACGGCACCACTGAGCTAAATCCCTGGCCCTCCTCAGTCATTTTTTACTTTGAGACAAGGTCTTGCTAAATTGACCAGGCTGGGCTCAAACTTGTGATCCTCCTGCCTCAGCCTCCTAAGTGCTGGGATCACAGTCATATGCCTCATGCCCAGTTCCTTGATCATTACTGATAACAGACAAGAGCTAGGCCTGGGGCTGAGTAGACAGCTGGGTCTTATGAGTGATAGGACACTTTCGTACAGGACAGAGGTTTTATCAAGAGTTTGCAGCCCCGAGTTTCATGGGCCCTGCTGAGGGGCCAGGTGCCCACCTCTTTGTGCCCAGCCTGGGCCCTTCTCAGCTGTTTTAGGGAGACATGCCCACGGATGAGCTCACATGCCTGTGCCCTGTGTTGTGCTGGCGATCAGGCGCTACTGCAAGGTTTCCAGTGTTTTCTGGGGTTTGGAATTTACCAGGTGGCCAGGTCTGGGTCAAGAACTCTTCCTGTGGTACCAAGAATGACGTCACCTAATTGTGGCTGAAACTAGGTTGGGATAATTCCCCGAAGGGAAATGAGTAGCTGCAGGACGCACAATAACAGCACAGTCTGTACCTTGCTTTGCATTGCTGCCCACACTCCTCTTGCCTCCCTTGCCCCACCACAGCAGGGCCCTGCACCCCTCGAACAGCCTCTCTCCCCACAGGTTGATCCCCATCCTTGTGAACGGGATGAAGTACTCCGAGATCGACATCATCCTGCTCAAGGTCAGGCGTGGGTGGCAAGGCCAGGGCTCTCTTGGGGGCTGGGGTCTCTCAGTGGTGCTGAACCCTCTGCTCGGCCCCAGGGAGATGTGGAGGAGGACGAGGCGGTGCCTGACAGTGAGCAGGACATCAAGCCACGCTTCCACAAATCACGCACAGTGACGCTGCCCCATGAGGCCGAGCGGCCTGATGGCTCCGAGGACGCAGAGGACGACGACGATGATGACGCTCTGTCTGACTGGAATCTGAGTGTGTGGCGCGGCCCTGGGGATGTGGGGGTGGCCTGGCTCCTCTCGGGAGGTGGTGGATGCTGGTGTGGGACTCACTGTGGAGGCTGACCCAGATCTTGTGTCCTTCCTGACATGAGCTTGCCTGCCACTGTCCCTACAGGGAAGTGCTCCGCAGCTGCGCTCGACGTCCTCGCCAATGTGTTCCGGGAGGAACTGCTGCCACATTTACTCCCCCTCCTCAAGGGCCTCCTCTTTCACCCTGAGTGGGTGGTCAAGGAGTCAGGCATCTTAGTGCTGGGCGCCATTGCCGAGGGTGAGTCCCCTGCCTGCCCTGCCGGCACAAGTCTTGGGGGCTGCTGCAGCAGTGCTGGGTGGAGGATGCAGCCTCTCAGTGTGGGTGAGGCTTGGTTGCCCCTGCTCCACAGAGTTCTGGATTCTCGGTCTCCTCTTGGCCCATGTGCCTAAAAGGAACCCCAGCACTGAACCCTTCATCTTTCGTTCTCCCAGGCAGGTCTCATGGTGCTAGAAAGTAGTTTCAGCAGCCACGGTGATCAGCAGGCATTTTCGCAGTATCTGCCCTACTGGAGGGCAGACCCTGGCTGGGGACCCATGGAGATGAATGCCCTTGGTCCTCACCACCACCCACTAAGTAGTTACCAGACACCTCCCCGCCCGGGTTCACCAGTGAGTGAGTGGCTGAGGGTCACAGAGTTGATGCCTTTTCCCTGTGATCACTAGGGCACCTCTGGGCCTCCAACCTGTTCCTGCCAGAATCAGAAGTGCTCAGCAGTGGTGTTTCCATAGATAAACGTAGTACCCTGTGTTACTGGGCGTGATTTCCAGTCTCTCTTTACCCAAAGGGACAAAGCATAGGTTAGGGTGGGTCTTTATGCATCCACTAAAGTTGCCATGTGTAACTGCTTTAGCACCCAGAACATTCATAAACATTTTAGAATGACAGCAGGAATCCAAAATCCAGATGATTTTAATTTTGAGGAGGGCTAGGGATATAGCTCAGTGGAGTTTGCTTGGCACACACAAGGGCCTAGGTTCTGTTCCCAGCACTGCAAAAAAAAAAAAAAAAAAAAAAAAAAAAAAAAAAAAAAGTATAAGCCTAGTGGGTAGCTGGTGTGCTTTAATCCCAGCACTCCAGGAGACTGAGGCAAGTTCGAACCCAGCCTGGAGAATTTAGTAAGACTCTGTCTCCCAACAAAAAAGTCTGGAGCTGGGCTGGGGATTTGGCTCAGTGGTTCTGGCACCTGCCTCGCAAGCACAAGGGCCTGAGTTTGATCCCTGGTACCAAAAAAAAAAAAAAAAAGGCTGGGGATGTAGTGTATTGCAAAGGCCCTGGGTTCAGTCCCTAAAATGTTAAAAAAGAAAAATGAAGGAAATGTTTTCTGAGTGTAACATGTACTCTACATGAATAACATGTCCTCCATCATGCAACACGTGTACCATATTGATAGTCTGTATTAAGTTTGTTATGTATTGACTGGGAAAGGTCTGGAGAAATTGACTTCAACCTGGTAAAAGTAGATCTCAAGTCTTTGATTATTATTGCATGGATGTGCTATTTTCTGTTTTGCTTAAGTAAAAGGATATTTGTCAGGTGGGGCCAGCCTGGGCTACTTACACTTAGTTCAAGGCAACTACATACTAAGGCCCTGTCTCAAAAAACAAAAAAACAATACAAGAGCAAGAGAGATTTGTAAGAAAGAATCCGGGTTCAGTTACTTAGGCCTGTGATCCCAGCAGTCTGGCAGGTCAAGGCGGGAGGATCACAAGTTTGAGCCATCCTGGGCAACTTAATGAGAACCTGTCTCAAAACATAACAGAAAAGGGAGCTGGGGATTTAGCTCAGTGGTTCCACCACCTGCCTGGCAAGCTCAAGGATCCAAGTTCGATCCCTGGTTAAAAAAAAAAAACCCAGAAGGGGCTGGCAGTGTAGCTTAGTGATAGTGCTTCCCTGTGTTTGGTTACTAGAAACACAGCAAAAGAGAAGGGCATAGTCAGTGCTGAAACATTTGCTTAGCATGCTCAAGGTCCTCAGTTATATCCCCCTCACTGAAGAAGAAAAGCCCCAGCTACTCAGGAGATGGCAAGTTTGAGGCCATTCTGGATAATTTAGCAAGAACCTGTCTTGAAACTGGAAAGATAGGGCCAGGGATTTGGCTCATTGGCGCTGCGCCTGCCTCACAAGTGCAAGGTGTCCTGAGTTTGATCCCTGGTACTTTTTAAAAGAAAGAAGGAAACTGAAAAAGATTTTAAAAAAAGAGGGCTAGAAATGTACCTTAGTGTTTGAACACTTGCCTAGCATACAAGAACCTCTGGGTTCTATCCTGATGTTGCAAAAATAATTATATAAAATAAATAACATGAAGAGTGACAGAAAAAGTACAAACATCTGAGGGTTTCAAATGAGATGTACTTTAGTACTTTCATGCCACCTGGGCTATTGGTGCCAGCCCTGTAGACTCAGAATTAATGAATGGCTGGATAAGGTACCAGCATCTTCAGATGAGATGCATCTCCTGTTTTCCTCCTGCCTCTCCCTTCCATTGATTACATGAAATGACAGTCTTGGTTTCCCCATCCCTTGGGCGGGGCTGGTCCTTTCTGTGAGGATGGGAATGCCTGGGCCCAGGTGGACTCAGCCTTACTCCTGGGCCTTCTTTTTTTTTCATCTGCAGGCTGCATGCAGGGCATGGTGCCCTACCTGCCTGAACTGATCCCACACCTTATCCAGTGCTTGTCAGACAAGAAGGCCCTGGTGCGCTCCATTGCCTGCTGGACACTGAGCCGCTATGCTCACTGGGTGGTCAGCCAGCCTCCTGACATGCATCTCAAGCCTCTGATGACAGAGTTGCTCAAGCGCATCCTGGACGGCAACAAGAGGGTGCAGGAGGCAGCCTGCAGGTGACCCTTGACCTCCTGACCTGCACTCTGCCCCCCACCCTGGCTGTCCCCCGGGAAATGATGACACTCATGACTGCTGACATGGCTGTGATTTCTCTTGTATTCGTACTGGCTGATCCCACGAGCACCCTCCCCACCTGCCCATGGCCAGTGCCAATGCTAGGGCCCACTGAGCCCTCTATCCCATCCTCGCCCTGCCAGTGCCTTCGCCACCCTGGAGGAAGAGGCCTGCACGGAGCTGGTGCCCTATCTCAGCTACATCCTGGACACCCTTGTCTTTGCCTTTGGCAAGTACCAGCACAAGAACCTGCTTATCCTCTACGACGCCATTGGCACCCTGGCTGACTCTGTGGGCCACCACCTCAACCAGCCGGTGAGACCTCCAGAGTGGACTCTTTCCCATCTCCATGCCCCTCAGACCCCTGTCACACGTGTTCCTGGCCAGGGATGTGGCCATGACCTTCACAGACAGATCCTCCTTGCCCCTGCCCTTGCCCTGCTTCCAGTCTAGCGGGGAGAGGCACAGTTATGAGAGTGTCATAAATGCTGTGTCTGGGAATCAGGAGATACCAGTCTGACTTTGGGATGGGGGTGGGGCCTGGACAGGCAGATGACAGTTGACCTCTACTCAGGGAGCCCAACTTCCTGTCCTTCCCCCAGGAATACATCCAGAAGCTGATGCCCCCACTGATCCAGAAGTGGAATGAACTCAAGGATGAGGACAAGGATCTCTTCCCCCTGCTGGAGGTGAGTACCCTCAGGTCCCCTCCTACACACCACCCCCAAGGCCCTGCTGACATCATCTTGCTGCCCTTTCCCCCAGTGCCTGTCTTCAGTGGCCACTGCCCTGCAGAGTGGCTTTCTGCCCTACTGTGAGCCCGTCTACCAGCGCTGTGTCACCCTGGTGCAGAAGACACTGGCCCAGGCCATGGTGAGGACCCTGGCCACCGTGTGCTTGCCTTGCTGCTTCCCAGGCCCTGGGGTGCTCCCTCCTCACCCTGCTCTTACCCCATCTGTACCCAGATGTATACCCAGCACCCTGAGCAATACGAGGCACCCGATAAGGACTTCATGATCGTGGCACTGGACCTGCTCAGTGGCCTGGCTGAGGGCCTGGGTGGCCACGTGGAACAGCTGGTGGCCCGAAGCAACATCATGACACTGCTCTTCCAGTGCATGCAGGTGGGCAGGTGTCCCATGCAGGCTGGGACCCTTTTTAGCCATCACCAAGGAGTGACAGTGAGATGATCTTTCACCTGCACAAGGATAGTACCCCAGCAGCTCGTGTTAGGCACTTGAGTCCCTGCTTGTGCTTGACAGACATCTGGGCAAAGGATCTCTGAAAAGAAAAGAGCTTCTGATTATTTAAAAAGTGTTTCAAAGCTGGGTGGGTGTGGTGTTGTACACCGATAAGCCCAGTACTCTGGGAGGCTGAGGCAGGAGGATCAGAAGCTTGAGCTCAGTCAGCCTGGGCAATTTAGCAAGAATAAGAAATTTTTTAAAGGATTGGGTATGTACTTCAAAAGGCTCTAATTCCCAGGCCCCAGAAACATGATTCAAATAAGGCAAATAAAATCTTATTAACAGGCCGGGCGTGGTGGCGCACGCCTGTAATCCCAGCATTTGGGAGGCTGAGGCAGGAGGATCGCTGTGAGTTCCAGACCAGCCTGTACTACATAGTTTCAGGTCAGTCTCAACTATGTAGTGAGACCCTGTCTCAAAACAAAACAAAACAAAAAACCCCAACTTATTAACAAAAGCAAACAGCTTGATAAAGTGTAGGCCTATAATCTCAACTTCTTGGGAGCCTGAGGCAGAATAATCTCAAGTTCATGGGCAGGATGGGGTTTGTAGCTTAGTGTTAGAGTGTGTTTTGCCTCTAGGACCCCAGCCTCTCCCTCAAGTAAATACAACCCTGGAAGGTCTACGACCACATTGGGATGTATTGATACTGTCTGATAAGGCCTGTCCAGCCTGTTCTGGGATCTCACCTGATTTGGCTTTCCTACTCTGCTACTACCAATGAAAAAGCAAACAAGTGTAGCTTGGTGTGGTAGACCTTACCTTAGCACGAGCAAGGTCCTGGGTTCCATCCCTAGCCCCAGCATGAACAGCATGAGAAAAAAAAAACAAAAAACCAGATAATGTTGAAAATAAAAAATAGAAAATGTGAGGTTGACTGTGGCGCACTCCTGTCATCCCAGCACGTGGGGAGGCTGAGACAGGAGGATCGCCAAGAGTTTGAGGCCAGCCTGAACTACACAGACCCTGTCCCAAAAAACAAAAATAGAAAATGTCAAGGCATAAGACTCCTGCCAAAAACAGTTGTCTCTTGCCAAACATGGTGGCTCATGCCTGTAATCGCAGCACTCAAGAGGCTGAGGCAGGAGGATCGCTGTGAGTTCGAGACCAGCCTGGGCTACATAGTTCCAGGTCAGTCTCAACTACATAGTGAGACCCTGTCTCAAAAAACAAACAAAAAGAACAGTTGTCTCTGGTCTCTTTCTCTTTTTTGGTACTGGGGATCGAACTTGGGTCCTTGCACTTGTGAGGCAGGTGGCAGAACCATTGAGATAAATCCCTGGCCCTCTTTGGTCTCTCTTGGTGACTCCTAACGCAGTGTAGCTGATATGGAAATAGTTATATGATACTGTTTAAAGAATGATGTCCAGAGAAAGGCTGTACGTGCTCAGTACAGTTGCATGGTTTTTTTTTTTGTTTGTTTTGCAGTGCCAGAGTGTACTCACTACCACTGGAGCAGTAGCAGTAGCCCTAGTCCCTTTGGTTTTCTTTCTCTTTCTGAATACCTTCTTCAGATACACAGCGGGGTGGGGGTGGGGGTTGTGTGTTCTCTGCAGCAGTGTCCGCAGAGCAGAGTCACAGATGGGGACAGTTGACTAGAGCCTCCATGCTCAGGGCCAAGACATGCACAGGGACTGCTTCCTCACACGCCCTGGGTGGAAAGAGAGGAGCCTGCTACACTTACCTCTTTCCAACCCCCAGGACTCAATGCCTGAGGTGCGGCAGAGCTCCTTCGCTCTCCTGGGGGACCTCACCAAAGCCTGCTTCATCCACGTCAAGCCTTGTATTGGTGAGCCCCTCCCCGGTCCTGTGCCTATAGCCCCAGCCCTGGCCTCATGTGATGGAGACATGCCCGGGGAAGACTGTGACCAACTGGGATGTATTCGTACTGTCTGATGGGCCTGCCCAGCCAGTTCCAGGAGTTCATCCCTATGGGCCTTCCTGCTTACCTACCCCTCTTGCTTCCCCTCTTCCATCAGCCGAGTTTATGCCCATCCTGGGCACCAACCTGAACCCCGAGTTCATATCTGTCTGCAACAATGCCACCTGGGCCATCGGGGAGATCTGCATGCAGATGGGTGAGTGCCTGGCAAGTGGACCAGCTATGCCTCTAACCATTGATTTATTCCTGGCCTGGAGGTGGGAGTCTAGCTCTGACTGACAGGCTCAGGAGAGCATCCAATTGGCCAGGGCCAAGGGGACACCTTTGAGGATTTTCCTCAGGGGTGATATCCTATGGCTGAGGGATCGTTTATGATTGGCTTCTCCAAAGAGGTGTAACAGGAGGACTATTTGGCTTGGACTCTGGTTATATGACTTTGGCCTCTTTTCCTGAGAGAGGCAGGAAGCTGGGCATTGTGGTCTCCTCAGGTTTGCCCTGGTGACTCCAGAGAAGCTTCTGGTGTTGGGAGGGTGTGGGTCTGTCTTTGGCCATGGCTTCTGGCTAGGAAGCAGCCAAAGTTCCTTTTTCTCTTAGCAGTTGTGGCCTCTGGATGGCACCGGGTCAGTAAGTGGGGGTTGCACCCTTGCAGGCCTGCTGTGGGTACAGCAGGCAGTGCAGGGGTCTGACTGTCGGTTCCCTAGGGGCTGAGATGCAGCCTTATGTGCAGATGGTCCTCAACAACCTGGTGGAAATCATTAACCGGCCTAATACGCCCAAGACCCTGCTGGAAAACACAGGTGGGTACCAGACCTGGGCTGTAGCCCCTCTCACCCACTTCTTGCAGGTGGGGTTCTGGGCTGAGAGGGGGGAAAGATCAGGGAGGGCGTCCTGAAGCACCTTAATGGGACTTCTGGGAGGAGCCCTGAGAAAAATGCTGACCATGGAGAGACCTGGGAGGAAACCCAGGCTGGGAGAGGGGAAATCCTGGCTGGGCCGGATTTGGAGGCCCAGGCTGGTTCCGCAGGGCATACCTCTGGGGCCCATGGGGCAAGGCTCAGTGCCTTGTGCCAGAGGCTGCGCCACGTACCGTCCCGGGGCCACTCGGGGTTACAGGTCGCCTGACGAGTCCCTCTGCCATTCCAGCCATCACCATCGGCCGCCTGGGCTATGTGTGCCCACAGGAGGTGGCACCCATGCTGCAGCAGTTCATCCGGCCTTGGTGGGTGCTGCCCTGGGCCTGCTGGGGGTGGGCTGAGGGGCAAGGCCTGACCCTTCCCTTGCTGTGCACTGCCCCCTCTACACCACATGGATGCACATACCTGGCTTCCCCCCCACCAACCTGCCTGCCTTCTCACAGGTGCACATCCCTCAGGAACATCAGGGACAACGAAGAGAAGGACTCGGCCTTCAGGGGCATCTGCATGATGATTGGTGTCAACCCTGGGGGTGTCGTGCAGGTCGGGCAGCTTGGGTTCTGAGGGCGGGGTGGGGGGCTGGTGCGGGCGGCCCCTCACATGGGATCCATCACGTTTCAGGACTTTATTTTCTTCTGCGATGCTGTAGCCTCCTGGGTGAGCCCGAAAGATGACCTTCGGGACATGTTTTATAAGGTGAGGGTCCTACTAGACCTGCTCGGGTCCCCGGAGGGTACAGGACAAAGCCTTTGGCTGTGAGTGGTGAGGCTGCCTTCTCCATTCTGCTCCAGCCTAGCCCTCACTCCTGCCTCCCTGCAGATCCTCCATGGTTTCAAAGATCAAGTAGGGGAGGAGAATTGGCAGCAGTTCTCGGAGCAGTTCCCGCCGCTGCTCAAGGAGAGGCTGGCAGCCTTCTATGGGGTCTAGGCCGATGGGGAGACTGCCAGGTGAGCAGGCTGTGGCTGGTTGGCCAGTGTCTGGGCTGAAGACCCCAGCACAGGCCCTTACCCTTCCTCTCCCCAGCAGGTTTCTGTCTGCATCGTCGGAGGGATTGCTAGGGAGCGCGCTGCGTCCAGAAGTCGCTGTGCCCTGGTCGAGGGGGGTTAGGGAGGAGTGAGTGGGACCCAAATCCAGATGCCTTCCCTGTCGGTCCGCCTGTCTGTCTGCCTGCCCCACTAGGCCTGTTTGGCAGGTGCTCGGGCAGATGGGTGGGGCCCCCATGCTCATCCTATGCACAGGGAGGGGGGTGGGACTTCGTGGTGGGCAGAAGCCCCTGATGGGCATCTCAGGCAGCCCACATGGGTCAGCCACAAGGGAGGGAGGAATCCACACGGCCGACCGAG